AAAAATAGTTTTAGTGGCTGAATGTTATGCTTGATTCATTTTTGATTCCCAGAGAAGCCCAGCAAGCTGGCTCAGATTTGGGTATACAAATGTGAATTCTGTTTGGAATTCCTCATTCCTGTTCAAAATGGTAAAATGTGGAGAACTCACTGAAAATAACAGAGTCACAGTATAGCACTTGATGATGCTGGTTGATCTCTGAGACAAACAGGGGAAGACATAAGGTGTTCTCACAGTGTGGTCAGGTATGATTTGGAGTCAGTTGGAGTCAAACTTGTACTCAAAAAATGCACTAAGGAAGAGACAGAAAACGCAAGTTCACTGAAGCAGATGTGAAACACCTCAAGATTTTAAGGACTAGAGACAGAAGGAAGACCACTGCTGATCTTCAGGCAGAGATGAACGCTTCCAGATCAGAGTCTGAGAAAGTCTCCAGAATGACCATAAGAGACGACTGATGGAACAAGGCTTAAAGGGAAGAAGAGCTGCTAAGAAGACATTATTGAGGCCTGCAAACATCCAGAAACACCTCAGATTTGCCAGACAGCACAAACACTGGACTGCTGATGACTGGAAGATGGTCCTCTGGACCGACGAGTCCAAGTTTGAACTCTTTGGTCAGCATCGTCGTGTTTATGTCCACAGAAAAGTTGGAGAATGTTTTCATGTCAGATGCATTGCACCCACAGTGAAACACAGTGGAGATTCCATCATGGTATGGGGTTCCATTTGTGGACACAGCATGGGCAAATTAGTGAAAATCAACAGTATCATGAACAAGAACATCTACCACAGAGACTGTGTCGAGACTATCTGACCAAGAAAAAGGAATTTGGAGTTCTGGAACTGAACAAATTTGGGATGTAGTACCACAGATATATATAATAAAGGCTAGCTGTCTTAAGGCGGCGTTTTGAACGGGATCACCCTACGGCCATCTTGATACGGGGAAGCTCTCTGGCAGAACCTGTGGTACGTGAAGGAAGGTGAGTGATCTGCACAAACGTAACTACTCTTATCTCGCTGAAATCATGACGGATTTACAAACNAAAAATAGTTTTAGTGGCTGAATGTTATGCTTGATTCATTTTTGATTCCCAGAGAAGCCCAGCAAGCTGGCTCAGATTTGGGTATACAAATGTGAATTCTGTTTGGAATTCCTCATTCCTGTTCAAAATGGTAAAATGTGGAGCACTCACTGAAAATAACAGAGTCACAGTATAGCACTTGATGATGCTGGTTGATCTCTGAGACAAACAGGGGAAGACATAAGGTGTTCTCACAGTGTGGTCAGGTATGATTTGGAGTCAGTTGGAGTCAAACTTGTACTCAAAAAATGCACTAAGGAAGAGACAGAAAACGCAAGTTCACTGAAGCAGATGTGAAACACCTCAAGATTTTAAGGACTAGAGACAGAAGGAAGACCACTGCTGCTCTTCAGGCAGAGATGAACACTTCTAGATCAGAGTCTGAGAAAGTCTCCAGAATGACCATAAGAGACAACTGATGGAACAAGGCTGAAAGAGAAGAAGAGCTGCTAAGAAGACATTATTGAGGCCTGCAAACATCCAGAAACACCTCAGATTTGCCAGACAGCACAAACACTGGACTGCTGATGACTGGAAGAAGGTCCTCTGGACCGACGAGTCCAAGTTTGAACTCTTTGGTCAGCATCGTCGTGTTTATGTCCACAGAAAAGTTGGAGAATGTTTTCATGTCAGATGCATTGCACCCACAGTGAAACACAGTGGAGATTCCATCATGGTATGGGGTTCCATTTGTGGACACAGCATGGGCAAATTAGTGAAAATCAACAGTATCATGAACAAGAACATCTACCACAGAGACTGTGTCGAGACTATCTGACCAAGAAAAAGGAATTTGGAGTTCTGGAACTGAACAAATTTGGGATGTAGTACCATAGATATATATAATAAAGGCTAGCTGTCTTAAGGCGGCGTTTTGAACGGGATCACCCTACGGCCATCTTGATACGGGGAAGCTCTCTGGCGGAACCTGTGGTACGTGAAGGAAGGTGAGTGATCTGCACAAACGTAACTACTCTTATCTCGCTGAAATCATGACGGATTTACAAACGGTTTGGTTTCGTACAAATGTTATTAATGTGGCTACAATTCAAATTCCAAAAATACAAATAAAATATAAAATAATTAAAATACAAATTGTTGCTGGCTGTGAGAGTGTAACATAATTATCCATAAGTGCCGTGTTATAACTACACCTCTGACGTTTATAACAAACCAAACCGTTTCAAAATCAGTAGAAAATTGAGCAAGTTAGGGATATTTAAGAAGTACATGCACCACTACAACACAATGTTTTGGGTGAGTGAGCTGACCGTATCAAGATGGCTGCCAGTGTGGCTGTGCGGTTCCATTGGCCGACAGCACGGACGAAACATCTAGCCTTTATTATATATGTCTATGTGTAGTACATTCAAAGATTAATCACACAAAATCTCTAAATCATCTAAAGCAAGCCTATGGGAACAGCTGGAGGCTATCTGGGACTCAGTAACAAGAGAGACTGTTGTAAAGTTCATAAAAACAATGCCAGCAAGAATGCAGCTGTTAACAAGGCCAAAGGAAGCCATACAAGATATTAAGCTTTTGGTTATTATGTGTGAAAAATGAATACTTACTTGTTTCAGTGTGTTATTTGCCAAATAAATAACAAAAACAGTTTTAGCTTTAAACACATTTTTGAAAGAGTTCTAAAATTGTAATTATTTCTCATTTTTATGACAGATGGTCTGACACATTTTTTTTTAAGCACTGTATGTGTGTGTGTGTGTGTAAACTCATATATTCGTGTGTTTTTCAGTGTACTGTTAATATTAACATTGCTGTGTAGCTTGGGTTGAAATAGTTACATTTAAATTAAACCTTTTTATTACTGATCTTTATTAAAAGTAGGACACTAAACAATATCAATAATTATCAATATTGACTGAAATTGAATAATTTCATCATAATAATATCATAACATAACATATCATAATAAATGTTTCATATATAGTCCAGTCCTAAATTATGTTTGCAGGCAGTTTAGGGATTCAAATCAGCGGCCTTTCAAGCCAAACTTGTATTTCTCGTGAAATACTTCAATACTCACAGCTACAGTTTCGTCCGTCAGGGTTCAAGGTGTAGTGGGAAGCACAGCGACACCTGGCACCAGCAGGCGTAGCCAGACAGAGGTGGGCACAGTTGCCGTTGTTATGCGAGCACTCATTGGTGCCATCCTGACGTGAGGAGTGGAACACTAGAATGTCCAGCATCAGCTCCAGCTGGCCCTGAGGACACAGTGACGGGACAGCAGATTTTAATTAAAGTATTCATTATATCAGAAAAATCAGAAGCCCAATAACAGTAAATGTTATACATTTTGGGTTTAGACTTTGCTGACACTTGACACATGGATTAAATTGGTTCCATACCTGCAGCACCACAGTGCGGTTAAGTCCACTGCGTTTTTCTGCCCGTTCAATACTGCGGAGATTAAAATCTGTCCAGTAGATGAAATCCCGGTACTGTGTTAGACCAAAGGGGTGAGGGAGGTCATCTACTATGATCTCCCGCTGAAGGCCTGCAGAAGATATGACAACATATATACACTTACTCAGGAGTTCTTCAACTTCTCATCAAACATTTCATCTTTTCAAGCAAAGACCATTGTTAAAGATTTGTGACCAACTGTAGATTTACTGTGGTTGCAGCATCAGAATTAAAACATAAACGCAATTTGCCTGCAAAGTTTACCTGCAGATGATATGACAACAAATAAGCAATTGCAAGATGTGTCCTTGAATATGAGTCAACAGTCATTTACATAGCTTCATTTTGTGTCTGTAATCTGCCTCAACCATCATATCACAGTAGAGCCTATAGCGTATACATTCCAGTTATAGCCAATGTTGGACATCTGTGTTTCAGTGATTTTCAATTTAGATGTAGATTTTATATCTACAAACAAATAAACCATACGCGTGTTTTTGATGTACACGACATATTAGGAATGCTTAGTGTGTTATTGCGCCATGCATGCTCGCTGCGTGGTTGATGACTATTGGTGTATGTGTTCAAACCTTGCATATTGGTGCTTTCAATCATGCATGTGTCCAAGTCGGTCCAATAGAGTCGATGATCTACATAGTCAATGGTCAGTCCGTTGGCACGGCCTACTTTATCCACCAGGGTCATGATGGTGCTGCCATCCATGTAGGCTCTGGCTATGCGAGGTCGACCACCCCACTCTGTCCAATACATGTAACTGAGGACACAAAATATCATTTCAGCATGGGGCACACATGAGTAAGTGATACAATTTTACAATTTCATTTAGCAGACACTTTCATCTAAAGCGACGTACATCTGAGAGCAGATGCAATACAAGCAAGGATCTAATCAGGACAAAAACAATCTAGATAAGTGCCATAGAACAAGTTCAAGTGTGTTACAGTCTTACGACTGGATACGAACATTAGTGGAAGTGGAACTTTAGGACCATTTAAAAAAATATGAAGGAACTCACATGACTAGTTACTTCTTAAAAGGTATGGTCTTACCCATTGGCTGGGTCCAGTGCTAGTGATCGTGGGTTGTCCAATGAGCGTGGGTTGTCAAGATCCTTACAGACCAGAACCTGTCGATGCAGGCCATCCAACCGGGCCACCTCTATGCGGTTGGTGCCTGTATCTGCCCAGTAGATGTTACGACCCATCCAGTCAACTGCCATGCCTTCTGGGTAGTCCAGTCCAAATTCTATGACGTGTTCTACAGAGCTGCCATTCATATACGCTCTGCTTATTGTCTAACAGAAAGGTGAAAGAGTGAGAAGAGAGAGTGAGAAAAAACACACACAAAGAAAAACAGCTATTTCCCATTCAAACTCAACCTTTAACAAATAAAGCACTACAAGTCCCAGCCTTTCTCACGATAGCTCAAATTTAGCAAAAAGCAATTATTAACAATTTCTTATGTCTACTAATCAGTCAGAACACAAATTCAAACTTGAATACATTTTTACAGCCCAGCTCACCTTGGCTTGTATATCTGTCCAGTATATTCTCCTTTCAGAGACATCAAAATCGAGAGCAGAGGCCTCCTTAACTCCTGTCAGAGGAATGGCCACATCGTTGCTGTTGGTACCCAGAGAAATGCTCCTGATATTGTCCCTGAGGAGAAAAAAGCATGGGAGAATCTTTACAAAGAAAAACTGCAGCTTTATTTATTTATTTATTTTTATTCAATGCAAGTTACAACCACACCAAAAAGGCAAGGCTTAAACAAGTCTAAGCTTGAGCAAGTCAATGCCAAGTCAAAACAGACATGAAAACGTGTTACAACCAAGATAGTGAAAGAACCAAAGAAACAAAAACAAAACCCACTCCGCTCAATATTTTTGTCTTTTTTTGTTTATAGCGAAAATTAACTGTGATGAAACATGCATTACACTGTACAGCTTTCTATTTAGAAACATTTCAATTATGATGACAACATAAATGGGCCTTAATGTTAAATTGCTGGCAGATGTTGTGATTACTTCTCCTAAAAAAACAAAATTAGATCATATTTGAAACACCCGTTAATATAATCAATAATCCTTTAAGAAAATGTGAAACCTGAAGTTCTACACAATAGAACAGCATATGTAATGTTAAAGTATTGTAAGTTTTAAACACAGCACCAGTCAAAAGTTTGGACACACCTTCTCATCCAATGTTTTTTTATTTATTGAAATTATTTTCTATAATGTAGATGAATACTGAAAACATCAAAACTATGAAAGAACACATCAGGAATTATGTAGTAAACAAAAAAGTGTTAAATATAAATAATAAGTTTTATATTTTAGATTCTTTAAGGTGGCCCTCTTTTGCTTTGATGACAGCTTTACACACTCTTGGCATTCTCTTAGTCAGCTTCATGAGGTCGTCTCCTGGATGGTTTTCCAACAGTCTTGAAGGACTTCCCAGAGGTGCTGAGCACTTGTTGGCTGCTTTTCCTTCACTCTGTGGTCCAACTCATCCCAAACCATCTCAGTTGGGTTTAGGTCAGGTGATTGTGGAGGCCAGGTCATGTGGTGCAGCACTCCATCTCTTTCCTTCTCGGTCAGACAGCCCATACAGAGCCTGGAGGTGTGTTTGGCTCATTGTCTTGTTAAAAAACAAGTGATGGTTCCAGTAATGCAAACCAGATGGGATGGCACGGCGCTGCAGAATGCTGTGGCGGCCATGCTGGTTAATGTGTTTTGCATTTTGAATAAATCACCAACAGCGACACCAGCAAAGCCGGTCCACACCATCACACCTCCTCCTCCATGCTTCATGGTGGGAACCACACATGCAGAAACTAACTCTCACCTTCTCTGGTCTCACAAAGACACGGTGGCTGGAAACAAAGATCTCCAATTTGGATTCATCAGACCAAAGTACATATTTCCACTCATCTAATGTCCATTCCTTGTGTTTCTTGGCCCAAACAATTCTCTTCTTCTAGTTGTTTGTCCTCAGTAGTGGCTTCTTTGCAGCAATTCGACCATGAAGGCCTGATTCACACAGTCTCCTCTGAACAGTTGATGTTGAGATTTGTCTGCTACTTGAACTCTGTGAAGAACCTGTGTGGGCTCTGATCTGAGGTGCTGTTAATTTGCAGTTTCTTAGGCTGGTGACTCTAATGAACTTATCGTAACTCCTGGTCTTCCTTTCCTGGGCGCTCCTCATGAGAGCCATTCTCATCATAGCGTTTAATGATTTTTGCGACTGCACTTGAGGATACATTTAAAGTTCTTGAAATTTTCCAGGTTGACTGACCTTCATGTCTTAAAGTAATGATGGACTGTTGTTTCTCTTTCCTGAGTTGAGTGGTTCTTGCCATACTGTGGATTACAACAGCAGTCAAATTGGGCTATCCACTGTGTACTAACCTTGCCTCTGCACAACACAACCGATGGTCTCAAACACATTGAGAAAGCAAGCAATTCCACAAACTGACTCTTGACGAGGCACAGCTGTTAATTTAAAACCATCCAGGAGATGACCTCATGAAGCCAATTTAAAGAATACCAGGAGTGTGTAAAGCTGTCATCAAAGCAAAAGCGGGCTACCTTAAAGGATCTAAAATATAAAACTTATTATGGTATATTTAACACTTTTTTGTTTCCTACATAATTCCTGATGTGTTCTTTCATAGTATTGATGTCATCAGTATTAATCTACAATGTAGAAAATAATTAAAATAAATGAAAAACGCTGAATGAGAAGGTGTGTCCAAACTTTTAACTGGCACTGTAGAAAACTGATCTGCTATATCAACAGTAGAGTTCCAGTGCATGACAAGAACAGCCAATGAAGACATGAAAAAAGAAGTAAGTGGACTTGCTTGAGACCAAAAACTACACAGATTGCTTGGAAGCAGCTGGTTCAGTCCATCATCTGCTATGATGAGATGATAAATTCTGCCACACTACTGAGTGTAAGTCCCCCTCATTTTGACAGCACCCATCAGACAATCAGTGTGGTTGAATGCATAAAAATAGAAGAACACACAATTGCAACAACAATTTGCGGGTTTGCCCTGAAGTGAGTTAAACTGAACTAAAAACAATTCAATTCAATCATTGCCAATTTACAACATATGCACATTGCAATGTTTGTATTTTTGTGACTTTGTGCCACTATCAGGCTATTTGGGATTATGTTTTTGTGGAGCATTTGTGCATGATTCCTAATTTTATTTGCCTCTCATCAGGGGGCAGCTGTAGAGTAACATCTGTGTGCGTGTCTGTCTGTGTGTGTGTGAACACTCTCAGTGTGTCTCTAGTGCTGAGGTCCAACAAGTTGATATTGCACAGGTAAGACAGGAATGGCCTCTCCTTGGAATGATTAGATTTTGTGGTCAATCACTGCAAAAATATCTCAGTTAGAGGTCAAAGGTCACTTAAAAAAAAAAGCCATATCATAGCAGGGGCAACTATATCCCTCTACTGAGGGCCTCTTGTTATAGACTTAATTTTGTCCATTGGATTTTAAGGTACATGTTTAGACATCTGTTCCTTCCCCCATGCTTTGGGTTCAATATGCTTTGGTAGACCTATTTCCAAACATGGCCTGATGATATCTACCAATATTTAAGAGGGTTGGGTAAATGTTTGATGATTTATGGTCAATTTCATGCTCGGCCCCACTCTTAGTAAAGATTTCTAAACACTATTGACCCTGTTTTTGGACACATCTGAGCTATTTATCGTAGAATTGTGTAGCTCAGGCCTCCAATGCAACATGAAAAAACTGGTGTTGATACAATCAAAGTCCAAAACGTAGTCACTTCACTGTTTTTCACATTGTGCAAAATATCAAGATATCCATCATGGTTGTACCCCTATGGGATTTTAACTTGAAGTAGATTAAAATACACTGCAGGTTGCTTTAAAGCTTTTATGAATGCGTATGAGCTCCATCAAATACACTTAATACAAACACCTGAAAAACACAGCTGAATAAGGAGACAAGTTAGAATGTTTAACACTACTAGCATGAACTAATATACACCAGAGTCAAAATACCCATTACAACAAATAAAACCTGAGACTACAAAAAGAATCAGGGAGTGTTACTTTCAACAGTGTCGTTAAGGTGCTTTGTGTCCTTGCCTTACCTTTTGTCGTTTGTTTATTTATATTTTTTTAATGTGTATGGACAGCGTGAATGCAACAGGTACGAGTTGCAGGTGACAAGAACAGTGAAAGGGTTAGTCTTTTTCGTCCAACTGCTTGACAGGTAGGTGTCAGCGTACCTGTTGGTAAAGAGAAGGAAGGCCTCAGGCACCACACAGGTCTGAAGATCTGAGAGAAGCTCCATCCCCATGGGACAGGCGCAGCTAACAGCCTGCTGACGCCAGAAACAAAGATGACTGCATCCACCATTATCCACCGCGCAGCCATTTGTACCTGGACACATTGATGAAAAAACAAGTTCAAAGTATGACCATGTATCTCATACAGCATTTTTATATTTATACATGTTCTACTTTTAAAAAATAACATGAAAAATCTGTGTCTTACCGTACGTCTCTGTCACTTTAGTGGCTTTTAGCCCCATTAAATCTGGCAGCTGATCAATAATGATCTCTCGTACAGCGGTGGCTTTATGGACTCTCTCAATGCTACGTCTCTGCCAGTCAGTCCAATAGATATAATCACCCAGCAGAGTGAAACCAAAGATATGAGGCAGCTTGTCCTCCAGCAGGGTCTGTCTGTTACTGCCATCCACATTGATCACCTGAGACAGGAGTGGGAAAAGACAGAAAATAGACAGGAAAACTTTTATAGCTTTTGCAAAGCTAGAGTGTACAATAAAAACTCATTCTTATACTGCTAAACACAACAACCTGTAAGCTATAAAATAGAACATATTACTTCCAAACTAGATTTAACAGCTATATTGACATTCCTGGTAATTCTTTTACCATATTCGGATAAGAAAGCTGCTCTTTGAAAGACCGTCTATTCAAATACACAGTTTGTTGTTAGTTTTATCATTGAGCTATTTAAATCACACAGTCACATTGGAAAAGTAAGTACAACTTTATCACACATTCAAATCCAAAAAGTTGGAATCAGGAGTTCCAGATTCGGTGACCTGCAGAGAAAAAATTGTGGATACCTATGAGATCAGCAAGGCATTCAAAAAGATCTCAAAATTATTGTAAATAAATCATGAAATCAATCAACAAATCAGCCAAAGAGAAGCTAACAATTTCATCATGGGATATGTTCGTCACTCTTCAACTGTTTGTGCCAAAGTGCTGCATCTACACCAGAAAGAAACCACACAAATTTGACCTGCATAAGAAGCACACCTGTAAAAAGCTTTTATCGTCCAAAAAGAAAATTAAAACAAAACTACAGTTTGCTATGAAACATACGTTAAAAAGCAAGCCTTCCGAAATAATGTAGTCCGGATATATGAATTAAAGACAGACTTGACAGACATGTTTGGTACAGAATAAAACCAGCTTTTCAACCTTAGACCAACTGTAAAGTCAGGTGGAGGAACATGGTATGATCTTGGGGACACAGCAGCTTTCAGTCAATGATTCAACTATGAATTTTGCATCATATTAAAGAATGCTTGAACATAATGTGACACCATCGAAAGCTGAAGCTGCACCAGTAGTGGACATTTCAAAAGTATAATGAAGCACACTAGGAAATCCACCATGGAATGGCTGAGAAAAAAAAATTGGACAGTTATGGAATGGCCTTGTCAATAAAACAAAGTCCATTCAAGTGCTGTGCATGGACTACCATTTAAAGCACCTACAAGTAGTTATTTCTGCTAAAGAGGGGAACTCTAGCTTCTGCGTTAACACTTTTTTCACAGAAGTACAAAAAGACATTCAATATCTGATATTTTTTGTTAAATAATTGACAGAAAAACAAATTTTCCTTGTGGTGTTGCTTTAGGTATATCAGCAGTAGGCATCGTACCAAAAAGAGAAACAAATATTTTTTAAAGTGAAAACACTAAGAACATCATGAAAATGCAATAAATGCATTTTGATAGAAGTCACTCATATATTATGCTATGCTATCTTGTATTGGTTTTCTCCTTATTGTGTAGCTTACTCAGTTTAAACGTTCATTAAAGCTCCTTAAGATGGTGCTAAACCACCAGATTGTTTTAAGATTTAAGCCGGTAAGAGAGACAGAACTGTCAGCCAGAAATTTCTATCCTCACACACAGATTTAAAAAAATCACAGGTCAACACAGAGAAAACACTCAACTATAAAGACATACATCGATTAGGGTTCTCTCTCTGTTCTACATATGTTTTGAGTGTGTGTGGGTATGTGTGTGGGAGCATATCAGTCACAAGGAATCTATTACTAGGCAGCTGAAAACTGATACAGGCACTCCTGCCAACAAATCCCCCACAATGTGTGTGTGTGTGCGTGTGTGTGTGTGTTTCTATAGGCGGAAACTGAGAGCTACAATTGACAAGGCTGCAATTAGAACTTGTGTCCAGCCCTCCTCCTCACCGCCTGTGCTATTATTAAACTGGCATCAACTTAAATAGACACACTTTAATGTTAGACACACTACAGTCATCTGCTGCCTGCATAAGGGTGTGTGTTTATGTCTGTCTGTCACACACTGCCTGAGGTCCTTCAGCGTGCCATGTCAGATATTTCACAAATGGTAGGAATATTGTTGGACAATTTGCTAGACACAATGTGCATGACAAACAAATACATTAAAACTGAATGCTGGGAAGTAGTTATGTTGTGGAGTGTAGAAGAAGCCTTAAGGTGGTAGAATCTATCAATTTGAGTGAACCAAAATGAAGTATTTTGATGGTTTGACAACATGTATGAAAGTTTATGGAAAGTTTCAAGCAACTTTCAAAGCCCCTTGAATAGAAATAAATTGAATGTAATTTAAATAAAACAAGAAACAAATAAAGAGGGAAAACCCATGGATCCCAACAGTGTTTCATACTCACATACACACACATAAACACACATCTTCGAAGCTAAAAGCCGGCGGTAACTCATTTACAGAAATATATTGTACGTTTAAGTTACTGTGCATTTTCATATAAGTGGGTATAGGTGTGCATTTGTGTGTGTGTGTGTGTGTGTGTGTGTGTGAGAGAGAGAGAGAAAGAGAAAGAGAGTGAGAGAGAGGGTGATAGGGTGGAACTTGTGATGTGCAGTATATTAGAATTTCTATATCTCCAAATGTACATACACACAAATATGCACACACACACACACACAGACATGCATCACAATCAGTGCTGGTGCTAATCACTGACACATGCCAGTGTGTAATGACCAAAGAATAAATTTACCCCATAGCACTTACTTTATAGAAAATATCTTCTTTTTTTCATAAAAAACAACGTCATCATGTAAATAAAATGGCATTTAAAGGCTTATAATCCTGAAAATCAATGAATATTTGGGAACTATGACGTATGACTTGTGACTTTTTAAAACCGATAAATAATTGAAAGTAAAAAAAATAATATTAATATTTAATGTTTGTATGGAATTGTTTCTGATAGGAACATTTTGTCCGTAGTAACCTATGTGTAAATTTTTTTTTTTTTAAATGGACACCGAAGGGTTAAATGTACTACAGATATTGATTTCGTCATCAAATGTTAATTCTCTGACTCGCAGTTGTGAACAAAAGTTTACATGCACTTGTAAAGACCATGTATATCATGGCAGTCTTGAGTTTCCAAGGACTCCCACAAATCTTAACTTTCTGTGATAGCATCATTGAAACACGTGCATCTTCATCACAAAAAACAAGCAGCCATTTTGGCTCTGTCATAGATTTATTATACATCTTCTTGAAATATAAAAAAATTCTGCTGGGTATTTGAATGAGTCTATGATAGAAAATTCAGAGTTACAGGAGTCGTTAAAAACTCAAGAC